TTTGTTAAGTATATTGTTTATTTTCTTATCTGCATTTACGAGAGCTCCGTAAATGTTGACTTGTCTTCTATATATAATAGATCTGGAAACCAGATATTCGATTTAATTTTTATATTTATCGAACACTTTACAACAAGAGACTATAGGAATGATGGCCGAATTTCTTGAGAACGTCTTTCGGCTAACATGATGACGAAAAATTATTAATTTTCTACTGATGCATTTTTCATATACATTTTGTTTAACAGATGAACTGTGGCTATCTTAATAAATATACTATACACCAAATAATGTATTGGTTGAATCAGTACGCTCCATTGACTGTAACTCTTGTGCTTTTATTTCACTCTTAATTAGTTGCTGATTATGATGATATATTTTAGGTCATACAAAAGTTCAATACACATCAACAAAAGCAGTCTCGATCGGGGATAGTCATATGAGTAGCAAATAGCCACTGGTTCCAACATTGTAAATCATTGATCGTTGTTACTGTTAGATAAAAAACACTACTTTTGAGAAGTGGCAAATTTCTCTCAAATTATGAACAAACTTGAATTAGAGAGAGATTTTTGTACCTATAATCAGTTTATCTAGATCGATAATTTTATTTCTAAATACATGCGAATATTTCAACAAGATTATGATTGTTTATAAAGCTAACTGAGCGTAAAAACATTTGAGGGATCGATTGCAGTTTGAGATATCTTCACCAAGAAAAATGCTATGCCAAACTTTACAAAAAGTTGTGGTGTCTAAACGAGAGAATTGAGAATTCCTTACAACTATTAACATATTCAAAATTCTTGACCTCCAGGTAACATTTATCATATTAGTGTGCATTTTGACGACAGTATGAATTTTTATAAAATATGGAATACGAATGTTGAAAAGTAGCTGCACTTTAACTTTAACTTTAACTTATTCAAAGTAAAGTTTTAAAGTATGACTACTTCAAACTTGAAACTTCAAAGTGAAATTTTAAAATGAAGTTAAAGTGCCATCCAGAGTAATGAATACCCACTTTCTATAGCACTTGAAAGTTATCAATATTCCCATTATATAGTAGCCGATGACCGATAGGCCCCCATTATAGAGTAGTTCATGAACTATTGAGACCCACCCCTTATATAGCAGTTAATGGCTTATGAATAGTACCCTTATATCCTACTGAATGACAATTGAATATCCTTTTCACATAATAGCTGATTATCCAAGGCTATCCTTATTGCATAGTAGTTGCTGACCCAAGGATACCCCTAATCTATATATATAAAGAAGAATGTCTGTTTGTGTGTTTGTGTGTTTGTGTGTTTGTTTGTTCTTCATGCATTTGGACACGGTACGAGCAAATGCTATGAAACTTTCCAGAAATGGTCTTTACACCTAGGAGAAGGTCGACATGTATTTTTTTCCGAAAAAAAACGAATCCCACACATGCTACAGGCGATCTATGAAACCGACCAATAGGGTTGCAACATTCGGTACTATAGAACTATAACTGAGTTCCACTTCATGAACACACAGGAAACATGGAACTAGAGGTTTTCGAGGGCGCTGAGTTCGAATCTGGGATAGATTTCCCTCCAAATCTAATTGGTTGTTTGGAAACCAATAGGAATTCAGCTCTTAAAAAAATAGAGCCAAACACGTATACTTTGAAGGAAATGATGGGGCACAGGGTTTTTTGAGGCGATGAGTTCGAATCTGAGGCCCATTCGCCTTGAAATCTGATTGGTTGTTTGGAAACCAATAGGAATTCAGCTCTTAGGAAAATAGAGCCAAACACATATACTTTGAAAGAAATGATGGGGCACAGGGTTTTTTGAGGCGATGAGTTCGAATCTGAGGCCCATTCGCCTTGAAATCTGATTGGTTGTTTGGAAACCAATAGGAATTCAGCTCTTAGGAAAATAGAGCCAAACACATATACTTTGAAAGAAATGATGGGGCACAGGGTTTTTTGAGGCGATGAGTTCGAATCTGAAGCCCATTCGCCTCGAAACCTGAGTGGTTGTTTGGAAACCAATAGGAATTCAGCTCTTAGGAAAACAGACCCAAATTTTCATACTTGGAAGGAAATCATGAGGCGCAGGGTTTTCGAGGACGGTGAGTTCGAATCTGGGGTCCATTTGGCTCTAAATCTGATTGGTTGGCCGAAAACCAATAGGAATTTAGCTCTTGAGAAAACGGGCCAAAACTCTTATACCTCCAAGAAAATGATGGAGCACGGGGATGTAGAGATTGTGAGCTCAACTCTGAGGTCCATTTGCCTCGAAACCTGAGTGGTTGTTTGGAAACTAATAGGACTTCAGTACTTAAGAAAATAGACCAGAACACTTATACTTTGAAGGAATTGATGGATCAGAGGGTTTTTCGAAATGGTGAGTTCGAATGTGAGGTCTATTTGCCTTGAAATCTAATGAGTTGTTTGGAAACCAATAGGAATTGGGCTACTAAGAAACCTAGCTAATCAATCTTTGGTCGTTAGGAGAAAAGTCAGGTAGGGACTTTAGAGGCAATGAGTTCGATTCAAGGATCTAAGCACTGAATGTGGGTATAGGGTATGGAAGCGAGTGTCTTCTTCTGTTTTTATAAATAACAATATTTGTCTGTCTGCTGTTTGTACATTTGATTTCCGTAATAACTAGCGCCATCAAAATTTCCATGATATACTCTTTAGTGGAGAGAAAATTGAGAGTAGATTGGCGCGACAGGCAAGGAAAGGAAGGTAATCGAATGTAATGTCACCCAGGTTGTGAAAATTGGAAATTCTCTAATCTCTATCTCTAATGTACGATAAGAAAAATAATGTTGACAGGCTGCCCAAAGAGTGAGCATGTATTCGTACCATGAATATTCATGGTTCTTACAGATATACCGTTTGAATTCAAGCGTCTTCAATTTGCTGCATGTCTTTCCTTCGCGATGTCTATCGACAAGGCTCAAGAGTAATTACTTAAGGTGGTTGGCATTAATCTAGAGAGCCCTTGCCTTTTTCATGGCCAACTTAACGTAGCATGCTGAGGAGTTGGAACTGGGAAGAGTTTGTTTATTTTGGCCCCTGTTGCGAAAATCGAGAAGGTTCTGTATCAAAAAGCGTTGCAATCGAAGTTGTATTTCTGTAAACGGTCTTTTGTAATAAAAGAAGTCGATCAAACAAAAAGAACACTGAAAAGGATAGAATTTTTTTTTTAAATTAAAAATGGGGAAAACATCAGTTGAAAAGGGAAAGTGATCTGAACATATTTTGCGATATCGAATTCGAATAATTGATAGGACATCATAGTGACGTCTTTTTCTAATATGTCAAGTATATATTATAAAATTATCATGACTACCATCGGGTATCTCCGCTAGTATATAGTATATGATGACCCAAGGATACTCCTAATATAGGGTATATGTGGACCCAAGAGTACTCCCAATATATCGTATATGATGACCCCAGGGTACCCCTAATATATACTATATGTGGACCCAAGGCTACTCCCAATATATAGTATATGATGACCCAAGGGTATCCCCAATATATAGTATATGATGACCCAAGGGTATCCCCAATATATAGT